CTCGTCCCCAGTCGTCTCTGTGTTTCAAGCGCGGGCGGAAGAAAAGGTATGCGCAAGGTTTTTTAAGCGCGGGCGGAAGCAGGCAAGATGGCGGGTGGAAGCAGGAAAAAGATGCAGGCGGTGCAGCGGGAGAGGAGAAAGCCCCTTCCCAGCGCTCCTAGCGCGTGTGCTCACCGCCTGCATGCCCTTGCTAACCCTTGCGCATACCTTTTCTTCCGCCCGCGCTTGAAGCATACCTTTTCTTCCGCCCGCGCTTGAAACACAGAGACGACTGGGGACGAGTCAGGGTCTGCATACAAGTTGTTACAAATCTGTTCACAAGCTGTCGACAAGTTGTGTTCGCACTGCTTGTTCCCAGTTGTTGGAATAAGTTTGGAACAAGCTGTTAACAACCTGTAACAAGCTTGATGGCATTATGAGACTTGATACAAGGTTGTTCCAGCAAGTCTGATACAGTCATGATATAACAAGAATGTTACAAGGTTGATGACACAAGGTTCAAGGTTGTAACAATATTGTTATGTCATGACTGCATCGGACTTGTTGGAACAACCTTGCAACAAGTCTGATAATATCAACAAGGTTACAAGTTGTTAACAGTTTGTTCCACACTTGTTGACAACTTGGGACAAGCAGTGCGAACACAACTTGTTGACAAGTTGTTGGCAGACTTGCTACAAGATGTGAGGTTTTTGCGTGTGTATATGCAGATTTAGCACAAAAATACTCCGTTGGTCTCCAGGAAATTTTTGTCTCCAGGTTGTGCTCCCAGGAAGAAAATAATTTATTCCTGCCCTGATGTTGTCACTGTTTTTCTGTATTCTAGCTACTGTACGACGCTGGAGTGGGGATACGTTGGATTTTTGTCGGTTATGTTGTTCTCGCGATCTTCTGTATACTAGTCAGTACATTTTTCCTCCTGCCGAAGACTTCTATAGCTGCCGAACAGGTGGGCTTAGGAGTTTGTAATGAGGCTGTCACTCCAGACACTGTAGGAGACCAGGAGATGACTATACCCAAAAGCTCTGCCAAACAGAAAGACTCGAACAGGGAAAAATCTAGAGTGGAGTTAGGGATCAGTAATCAGGCTGTCACTCCAGACACCGTGGGAGATCAGGCGATGACTATTCAATCTGTCGGGAATATTCGAGAGTTTGATGACATCAATTTAAACAAAGAACCAGGTCAGTGAAGGCGTTGGATGCCACAGGGAAGGGACTCAAGTGTTCAAAACCTAAAATCCTTTTGGCGTTCCTCTCAAAATGACCTTGTTTTGTAGTTTACACGGTTGAGACACACAAAATAATAGTTAAATATTGTCAATAGCCATTATTAGTAGGCCCTCTTAACGGGCCTGCTAATGGCTACATTCGCACTAATATTTCTAGAGAATGACAAGCCGGTAGAAAATGGATCAACGCCTGAAAGGACAATATCACAGGATGTGGACAAATACGCGTCAGGTAGGAATGTCTATTAGTCTATACCATATATTTTGACTAAGAGGCATGAATAGTGTTTAAAACCTTAAGGCCCTGTCGCACTAACGGCTTATTGACCGAGCGTGAGGTTTGTACTGTGAAATATCAGACCGAGGTTTTTTAGTATGGACCGAGCGACGAAGGAGCGAGGTCCATGCAAAAAACAGATGTCTGATATTTCACGGTACAGACCGAACAAGCGAGGTCAATAATCGGTTTATTATATGGCTGAACTGAGTCTGTGAGCATATGCTTTTCGCGCGAATTAAATCGGCTATCGTCAGTTTCACTGGGTAACAATATACGGTAG